AAATAGGTTATTAATATACGTACTTTTGCTAGAAGTACTCTTGGAGGAAATAAGAAAATTATTTAAAATTTACAGTACACAAATTTGTTTTAGAAATATAAAGAACAATCTAAAAAGTACAGCAATTCCAATATTATTCAACTTTTCATTTTAAAAATTATAGTATTTTACTATTAATTCAAAAATTATTACCTCTAATTTTAAAATTCTCATTTTTACTATTTTTAAAAATCAATTACGATTCAACACTTATAAAAATAACCAGAAAAAAGCTTTACAAAGTATAATACCAAAAAATAAATATAAACAATCTATAAAAGAATAGGTCGTTTATGAATTATGAAATTAATTACATTTCTAACCATTTGATTAGATTAAATAGAAAATATATAAAAAAGATAATATTTTCTTTATAGCAGTTCATTAACCCTTCTTTCAGATATTGATAATTTTTCAATAAGTTTTAAGTAATTGATAAATGCATGAGATTGAATTAGAAAAATCGAAGAAAAAACGAAGTAAGATCTATTAGTGCCGGAACACAATATTAGTAGATACATATTCTCCAAATTTTTATGGAATTTTTTTTTAAAAATATTCATCTTATTTTTCTTTATGTAATGAATGTTATAACTATTTAGATAAACCGTTTTTAATAATTTAAAAATAATAATTTAATATATTAAATTAATAATAATAATAATTTTGTTAATAATAATTTTGTATTTTTAATATATTTAATTAATTAAAACATGTAATTCATGTTTTAATGTTGATATATTGTATAAATATTTCTATATATATAAATATTGTTGCATTATATTAACATTATATAGTACCTTGGTGATGACTATAGAATGTAGTAGAAATATTTGTTCAAATAAAATTTTTTACAAAACAAAAAATTTTTAAAAAGTGTATTATTTAACTAACAATCATTTAGTGCGTTAAAAAACAAAATTATTATAAACCGTTTTATAATTCTTTGAAGACTTCTTAACCAATGTTTTTTCTTCTAAAAACTTTTTTAGCATATATATATCGGTTATATTGTATCTCATATATTTTGAATTCATATCTTTTATCGACTGAAATCAGTTTCACATTTAGTCATAATACGGCAAGAAATTTCTTAATTAAATTATGCAAAATATATATAAGCCAGAGGTGGCAAACATTTCATAAGCATGTGTGATATATAAGAATTTTTTTCTTTAAAAAAATTGTGTGCTCCTTGGATAATAAACTTGGACTGTACCACATCTAGCAGCTTTCCATTATTCAAACAACTTACACACCCCTGCGCTAATGCACATATGGAATAAGCTCCTGGAAATGTATATTCTTATCGAATAGACAATAAAACTCTATAAAATAGGTTCTGTACTACATTTTACTGACGCAACAGGGCTTAGGGACTTACTCTAAACCCAGAAGGAGTACAATAGACCCCAAGATGGCACTGTGTACTATCATCAAATTTTTTATCGCCACTTTAGCTTCCAAGTAAACATAATTTATTTAGAAGATTAATTTTGTCTGCACTAACAAATTGTTCACTGTCATCATAACTCTCAAATATATATGTTTCATTAAAAATATAAATAATAAATATAATATAAATATAAATATTTATATTCACAAATTATTTATTAATATTTAATCATAAACCGTTTCATTGAAATCTCTAAGCTTCACTTTATAGTCGTAGATAAAAAACAACTGTTAAAAATAATTATTTACTTAGAAGAAGTAACTATTTACTACTACGAGTACTAACTGACATCTCTAAAATTAAAATCTTTTTACTACAAAACTAGAGCCAAAATTAAAGTTTTATTGTTTTAAAACTTTACTAATTTAAGCTGCAGTAATACTAATAGAAATGTAGTTAAATGCAATGGTCTTAAGTGAATAAAACGTGGCATAAACTACAAGTACCAATCCACTCAATTTTCAGAATAAAAGAAAATATATTCTGAAGAAAAATTGTGTTGAAAATGTACTAGACTAAAAAGTGGCTATTGTTTGTATTCACTTAAGTACAGAAACACATCACGAACGTCAACACCAACAGCAACATCAGCAACATCAATACATGTGGCAACACCAAACACGAGTACAAACAGGCATTACCGGCAGCTCCATTTTCATACTATTTTGCTCCTGTTATATACACTTCAAATTTTTTTATAACCAATTTCTTCCTTCTCTATTTGTGCCACTTTTCTCTAGGTTTATTGTATTTTTCTACAAACACAATGAACAAATAATTTCGAATGGCACTTTCTTCGTCGTATAGTAGTTAGTAAGTAAATAATACACAACCAACCACCAACCATAACCTTACTCCTTTCTCATTACCTACTAGAAATGTTGAAAGGAATGCATTTGTTGCTGAAGCTCAAGTCATGCCAATAACCGCCGAACAGAACAGGATTTAAACTTTTGCAGGAGCAAAAATACTCTGTGGATTTTCTTTGTCTTTCCTGCCTTAAAGCTTCTTTTGGTTAAATCTTTTTTTATTACCTACACATTTTTCCGTGGATCTTCTTCTGCTCGAAAAAATCTCGTCGAAATGAGGTTATTTTTCATTTTTTTACATACCTTTTTTTTTTTTACTAATTTTCACACTACAAAAACTATATTATACTATGTACAAGCCGCGCCATTGTTTCAAGGCACAAGCAAGCAAAGAAAAGAAAATTGACAATAAAAAAATTTATTTATAGAAAATTGTTAGAAAATATTTAAATTAAAGTTTCTTTTCCTCTAATCCTGCAATTTGTGGCATTTTTCGATAGAAGAAATTTTAATGAAAATATGAAACAATTTTAATATAAGATTTTCAAAACAAATTCAAGAAAATAATAGTATTTGTGGAAGTCTCCTGCATCCTGTCTCCTTTACGGTGGACTTATTTTTATTGTGAAAAAATTTGAGAGAATAAATCAACATCATCAACGCAACTTGTGAAATTTGTTGAATAATTTCATAAACGGCTTACGCTTGAGTTCATTTCTTAGATATTTTTCATAAGTGGCTCTTGAGAAATATAAAGAAATTTCAACGAAAAAGGATTATTTTTGCTTATTAAATTTTGCATAAAAAATACTTTAGCAAGCTTCCTCAGCGAAAGGAATACATAAGTAAGATTTTAGGTATGTATTTTGAGAATGTGTACTTAGTGATAATTAGTTTTGAAGAAAATTGATTGAAGATGCTATTTACAAGATTATCTTTTAAATTAATTTGAATTATTTTGGTTTTTGAAATAGACAATTTAGCAACTAATTAAAATGCTTCATAAATAAAGGATATGATAATAACTAAAATAATTGTTTAAGTAGTTTAAAACACTACTTATAATAAGAGGAAAAACAGCAATAAAATAAAAGGATATTGCTGAAAAGCATTTTAAATAAGTTTTTAGAAAACATAATTATGAAGAGATTTCGAACAGTAGTGAACAACAACAACAAAAATTATTTTTGTATTATTTTATTTAATTGAATCATCAGTGGTCTTGGAATTATTTCTTGTATTTAATTACTCGTTAATAATTTTTTTGAGACTGCAAGTACCAGGAATTGAACTCATGCCCTGCTAAATTTGAAGATCAGAGTCAGCGTTCATTAGCCAAATAGCACAAAACCGTACTTGACTTGTATTTTTACACTTTTTTCTGGAGTTTTGTTAATTTGCTGTGAAAGCTTAATAAAAATTCAATTCAATTAAAAAAATTCTTAGAAAGAATTCATAAACTAGCTGTAGAATAATTGAATTAATTAATTATATTTTTATTTTTAATTTTTAAATTTCAATACCATTCTTTTGTATAATTATGTTATACATAATCTAAAATATATTAGGTGTAGTAAGAAGAAATCCATTATTTTCCCAATAGATAACTTTAGTTAGTATATAAGTGCGTAGTATAAGTCCAATCGAGTTAGAAAGATGACATTTCAAATCAAAAAAACTTAATGTATGGATGATGACTTGTGATGAATGGTGGTGACTGATCACATACGACAAAGTCAAGCAACAACGGTCGTGGTCAAATTGCGGTAAGCCGGCTGAAACAGTAGCCATGCCAGAATTGATGGCCAGTAAGGTTTACTGTGTGTTTGGTGTGATTAGCAGAGAATCACCTCCAACACTCTTAACTCGGAACTGTACTGTCTGATTCTACAATTAGATCGTCTAAAGGAAGCATCGTTCAGAAATGATCAGTTTTGGGCAATAGGAGGGAAAGTGTTTTCCATCAGAACGACGCCAGGCCACCCACATCGCTAATGACTCGCCAAAAGCTCCGTGAGCTTGGTTGAGAAGTTGTTATGCATCCATCTTTATAGTCCACACCAAGCGTCAAGTAATTATCAACTGTTTCTGTACATGGCAAACAATTTTTCTGGTAAAAAATTTGCTTCAAGACAGGCTTGTGAAAATCTACTGTCTCAATTTTTTGCTAACCGGGACGAGGATTTCTATGAATTTGAAATTATTTTAAAATGGCAACAACTTATTGAACAAAACGGCGCATGTTTGATCTGAATTGGATAGCACTTAATATGGTAAATAAACCATCAATTTGTGCATCATTGTAAAGCAGTGGTCCTAAAAGAAACACTATTAGAAATTTTTATTAGAATAGAAAACTAGACTAATAAATTAATTATTACTGATATAACAAATGATCAAATTAAGTGCGTATAAGTACGTATAACAGAAGTTAGGCATTGACAGCTTACAAGATTAAATGGAAAGAGCTTAGTTGGTTAGCTAGATAGGAATTCAGATTAACGGAGTAATACGAGTATGTTACATATGCAGAGTGTAATTTTAAAGTTTACGACATTTAGAATACAAAATATTAAAATAATGGAGGTAATACAATTTTTAATAATATTGATTATTTCAATTTTTTTAAATTAGATTTAATAATTTCTATATTATATCCAAAAGTTTAGTATCTTTTTTATTTCTTTTCAACTTACCAATAAAACTTTTGCGTTTATTAATTGTTGCTGTTATTTGTGCTGACACACCGAAGTCGGCCAATTTGACATCACCATTTTCAGTTAATAATATATTTGCGCCCTTAATATCACGATGCATTTTACCCCTAGAATGCAAGTACTCAAGTCCTTTCAACGTTTCACGGCACATATAGGCGATTTGTTGCTCAGTCAAGGGACCAGTCACTTGATAAATATCCTGTAGACTGCCTCCACCACAATATTCCATACAAATCCACAGTTGATCTCGCCTTAAGTAAGAACCATAGTAGGCAATTATATTTGGATGCCGACAATCCCGCATCATTATGATTTCCTGTTCGATAATCTGTATGTCATCGGTGGGTTCTAATTTGATGAGTTTTATGGCAGCTAATTCGTTGCTCTGTATGCGTTTCGCCTGTAAAATTATAAAAATAAAAAATGTTATTATATTATTTATTTTTTTTTGTTAAAGAAATATAATTAAATTATTTATTTTTTTCTTTTTCTTTTTGGTAAAGTAATGCAATAAAACAATGTATATTTCTGAAATTTCAACTGGAACCATTTGGTTAAATTGTGGTAACTGCTAAAACGTTTAAAATTATAAAAAATTCAACCAATTATGTGGCGCTTATTTCTCTAAATGAAAATTGGCTCTGTGGAACCAAAATGCGGATATTTCGTTGCATTTAAACAATTTCATTTTATGCAAATGCTGCAATAAATTTTACAGCAAAAATGCAACTACTTTTTTCTCGACCATTGCAATAGTAGTAAATTTTAAAATAAAATTAAATAGAAAAGAAAAGAATTTTTTAAGGTGAAAATAAATTTTTAAAATTCAATATTCAGATTACATTAAATGAGAAAAAAATTGATAGAATTTGTATTCACAAGGCCTGTTTCCTTACTGACTCGGTATTGGTATTGGTACACTGCCTGTAGTGAATTTCCAATTGGAGAACTTGGATCCTAAAGAACAAAAAAAACGGCAAATTCTCTTATAATGTCGAAGTTAGTCGGTTTGTGGATTTCCTCTATGCAATAACAATTCTAGACATTTTGACTGTCACATTGATTGCTAACTTGTGCACATTTGCGATATGTCACTGAATTCCATGAATTTGCGGTTACCAGCAAATGACATTCTTTTCCTCAACATTGCATAACAGTAGCGATAAACCTTTGCCCTACGCTGCTCTTATGAATTTAGGTGTGAATTTTATGACTGCATTATGCACTCATCAAAATGCACATTTTATTCACATTCAAATTCAAATTCAAATTAATTTCTTTTTATTTTTTAGATTGGTTCAATTCTGAATTTCATTTTAGAAAAATTTATATGGCTTCAATGAATATTTTAATTTTAGTTTCAACTTCTTGGTTTGTTCATGGCTTTAAAATTGTTTTTTATTATAACTATTTGTACTAACGAAGGCATGTTAGGTTACCAAAAATAAATTTCGTAAAATTTATAAATTTAATCTGTGTAAGAATAAGTAATGTTGGCATTTTTCAATAACCAAGCAGTTTATTTCCATTATCAAATCGATTTCATACTATCAAAGGAAATACTCTTATTATTAAAATTAATCCCTGTATCTCGAAGTAATGATAGCAGAACAATGTAATTGGTGTAATAAATATAAAGAAAAAATATGTTACTAACCAAAGCAAGTAAAGTATATTATTAATGGAGATATAAAAAAATTTATGTCAGTTGAGTAGACTATAAAAGTAATGCTATTAAAAAAACGAATTAATAACCAACCATACCAACCAGACCAATCAACTATAAGGTGTTGTACACATTTCTTGTGTCCAAAATACCTGCATCTCAGAAACCCACTTGAAATAAGAATAAACAAAATATTAGAAAATGAAATTATATTATATTAAGATATATTGTTTTTCAAAAAACTTGATTTGTACCAGAATAATGAAATAATCCTTTTCTTAATTTTTTTTATTATTAATTATTAATTTATTAATAATAAAACTATTATTAGTAGGTAATCAAGAGAAAAGTTTAAAGTAAGATCTTTTGTCTACTACGAGTTGACGACGACTACTGCATACGAATGAACCACAAGCTATAACAGCTTTATCGCGACATTAAGATATTTAATAGGCATTACCGTTAACATCATAGCGAATTAATATCTACTGGATGTTTGCTGGCCTGGACTCTGTCATGAGAATAGATAAAGATGCTTAACCGAAAGAAATATTTAAAACTGTATTAGAAAAAGAAAACATAGAGGTAGACCCTGTCTTAGATGAAGTGTTCAAGTTAAGAGAACACTGACAGCAATTGTTCTAAGAGACTGAAAAATGAACGCATACACCTGGGGCGCCTGAAGAGACAGGCTACGTCAGGTCTAATCTTGCTAACGGCTTATTATGACCATTTAAGTAAGTAAGTAAATTTTTCAGTTGAAAATATTATATGCAATATAATTTTGTAATTATCAACAGTTTATCACAGATTGGAGAAAACTAATTCCATAAAAATTTTATGAAGTTTTACTATGCCTTCACATTTTATATGTTACCGTAGCACAGGTCTAAAATAAACACATACAAGAAAGGACCAAGTATCATATTTTATTTTAAATTGAGTAAAAATTATGCAAAATTGTAGAAAGTACACTATAAATATGAGTATGGGAATTGATTTTCTTTTGGTTTCGGCGATTTTTAACCGGTTGTGAGTATATTGAAGACGACGATCAAGCACAGTCGTCAAAAACTAGTCGCAATGCACAACATATTGAGAAAGTTGGGAAAATTCAGCAAAGCAACCGCTGTGTCTGCAAAACTCATCAAAGAGGAAACTGGCACGAAGAAAAGGTTATAAAATTGGATTAAAGGTTTCGACAAAGATTAAAGATTTTTGTGGTTCATTCGAATGCGAAAACTCCATCAAATTTCGAACGAAAGTTTAGTAACCCAAAAGGTCCGTTCTTGAAGATAGCAGATTTTATTTAATTTGTTTATACTAGTTTGTGTTTTAAAGTAAAGGTTGTTTTGACAATTGCATATAATTTCTGAGGTTACTTAAAAATTACGACTCAAGATTTTATGAGAAATCAATTTTTAAAATCTCAAATTGTATATGATTATATATAAATATCTAATATATAATATAGCAATCATAAGATTATATTAAGAATATTATTAATTATATTATAACTTTGTGTTAAAATAATATACATCTTATTTTAATATAATATATTGCATGCATTATAATTATTTTTTCAATAATAATATTTATTATTATTATATTATTATATAATAATTAATATAATTATATTATAATATAATAATATTTTATAAGAAAGTATAAAACCACATATGTTCACTCAAAAATGTAGCGCATATTGTGGATGGGATTTGTTTGAAGCATGCACACCTCAAGGATACTAAGCTGCTTTTAACAGCAGGCGGAAAATCAAGCAGTGGGAAGATATGGCAACAAACTAGCGTGGTTAAAAAGGGAAATGATTGCGGACTAAGCAAAAATAGAACAATGCAATGAAATAAAAAACTAGAATAAAAATAATAAACCAGAAAAAGGAAATATTGCAAAAAATGAAAAAAAAAAAAAAACAA